AATCGACAAATACTATTGTTGAATGGACTTACCTGATGAAAAAGAATGACATCCAAATCTTGTGTCGATTATTTCTTCTCCTAACGGTAGATCTGACATGAGCCAATTTCGACAGTGCTAAAAAATTTTTAAGATATTTAAATAATGGCTTTAAAATCGCAAACTAGTCCAAAATAATTAAAATGAATACCTCGCGTATCCAAACTTTCATACGATCTGTCCTTACAAAGTCAATAGAATGAGCTGACACGGTAAACTCGATAGCTTTTACTCTCTCAGATAACTCATCAACTAAAGTCGAAACACACATGTTTGATAAGTATCACCGAAACAACGCGATATATCCATTATATAATACAACAAAAAAAATAAATAAATAGAGGAAGGCGTTCGTCTAACTTACAATGGTTTTGCATAACATCTATAGCACAATGACCTCCGTAGCTGTGGGCGACGATGAAAATCTTTTGTGCCTTAGACGGTCTATGTGGAATAAAGGATTTAGTGTTGACATATTATAAACGAAAAACAATTAAAAATTAAATTACATTAAAGCATACATTACGATATTCTCGAATACATAATTAGTGTGGGCCTCCGGGGATTCACTTCCTAAAAATAGATAAATAATACCGATAAAAAAATAACCATCTTTTTTTCGACATAACGAGCGTTTGCGTGTTATTTCGAGTATGCCATTCTGCTTTTCAGGATAAAAGACAATTTTCCAAGTAGGTTATTACTATATATAAATCTGCTAATATATTATTTGAGATGAGCGTTATTTCGGGACGCCCATGAGCGTTGGTTTGAAATTAACTGTGCTATTCTTAAAAGATTCGATTTTCGGAATAACGCACATTATCATTATTCCGTGATTTTACAGTAATCGCGAACAGCTCACAATTTACCTGGAATCGTGTCGAATGGTGCAGTAGTCTTTGGCAGAATAAGCTATATAATCAATACGATGAGATTTTATTTAAAATATTTAAGTTCAGTGAAATCCTCTAGCTTTATATATAATACATACCACACCTTTCCCCTTATACCAAAATACCTCATTAGGATTTAACATTACGACAGAAAAGCCCAATTCTAAAGCGCGTTTTGCATAATTGATCATTGAGCCATCCTTTATAATGAAGGTTTGAATAAAAAAAAATTAATGAAAAAAATAATAATAATAATAAATTTAAAATTTGGACTCTTGAACATACTATAACAGAAATGTCTATGAGAGCTCTCCGCGACCAGATACCGACTCTGTAATTTAATTTTAGATCAATTCATAAAGTATACCTATTAAAGAATTATGAAATCGAATGATTTTTACTCACGAATGAGCAGTTCCAGGGATGAATATAATCATCTTGTCATTAGTTTCATAATCTGGCCTAAAATTTTTTATATAATTATTACAATAATAACTAATAACAAAGATATGTTTCGATCCGCATACGTCAGATAAATCCTGGTATGTATATCATTTTCTGTAGCGCCAAATGGTAGTACCATTTTTATAAAACCAAGTTCTTTTTGAAGCTTTTCTTCGACCCAAGAGCCCAAAAGTTCTGTAAATTTATAAAGAGCTCAGACAAATCAAAATTTTGCAATAAGCGCACATAAAAATTCAAGCAGTAAAAAAGAAAAAAAAAAGTACCCATTACAATATCATACAAACGCTCATTATAAGCCCTGTCTTTTACTTCAAATTTGTAAATTTCGCCGTCTATGGGACGCAATTTTAGATCACTAAGTGTAGCTTAATGTATAAAGTCTAAAAGATCTTCACCTTCTATCGATACAAGTTGATTTTTCTCATCAAGCTTATACCCAAGTGCCTCCAAGTCACGAGGAATCTCACAAGGAACTTTCTTAGTTTTTTTCTTTTTAAACATTTTATAAATTCAACGGTGGTATAGAAAACGTTGAAAAAAACAAACCAAATTGAATAACTTTTTATGATTGGTCATGTAGGATAGTATTTACAGTTGAATTTTTAGATTAAGTTAGAAAAAAGATCAATAACATTTTATTACAGTATTATAGTACCTGGTTCAAATTTTTCACAATAAAAATAGCATGCTATATATATTTTTTTTTGATTAGCTATATTATGTATATATTTTAGCAAAGTTTTTTAATAACTATATGATTAAGCTTTTTGTTTTTAATTTTACAGGCTTATAAAATTAAAATAAAAGTTATACAAACTTAATAAATCGGTTCTCATAACATAAAATTTTTGAAAGTGACCCGGCAACCCGACTTTTAATTTTATTTTCAAAAAAATTTTATATATTAAAAACAAAATTTTTTAGAAATTTTTTAAAAAAACCTATCTAGATAGTAAATATATTTTAAAGTTTTGTAAAATTTGACCTGACTGGGTTATGAGAACCGCTTTATTAAGTTTGTATAGCCTTATTGAAAAACTTTTATATAAAGTTTTAAAAAATATTAATCATACTATTAAAAATATACTGTAAGGGTAGTAACATATATTACGTAATATCTTTTTATTAATATTTTTAGTTATTCTTTTCCCAAGATATTACATAATATCTGTTACTGCCCTAATTATAATTATAGTATTTAAAATAAAAAAATCTAAACAGTATATCTATATACTAAATATACTTTCTATTTTATTTTTTTTTTGAACTTATTGGCAGCCTCAATAGTATCTTTATTATACTATATACTATAACTATCTAAACTATAGATTCAACATCATTTGGCTTCTTCTATAAGCACCCAAGTGCAGAAGCTATACCAAGCTAGTTAGTGAAACTATAACAAGATAGCTTTGTTTAAAAAAAATTTTAATTACATTCAATTAATAATTATTTCTTTCTAATCTATCCTTTTTTTTACAACAAAAATCTATTTCTAGTTTTATACTAATACTCAATTTAATTTTATTTTTCACTATATCAAAATTCTTTTGAGTATATTTAAATTTTTTTCTTTTCTTTTTTTAATTTATTTTGTTCTTTCTGATCAGTATTTCAACTCTTAGGAGTCTTTTTAGATATATTTTTCTTTTTGTTTCATAGTTTCATATTCTTCTTCTTCTTTTAAAAAACTTATTTTAAAAGATTTCTTTAAGAATATTTTTCTGTAAACCTTTTCTCTTTCTGGTTTTCTTAAGTCTCTTTGTTTCTAGATCTTAATTAGTTTATTCAGATCCTTTTTTTTTTTGTTCTAGACTTGAGCATTTCTTTTTTTTTAAGCTTGGTTTTCTTTTTAGAAACTTCTCTTATATTTTAATAAAAATTTTTCAATTTCTAAATAATTTTTTTTTTACTTCAGCAATTCTTCTTTTATTTTATTTATCAGAAGTAGATTACAAAAATGTCTCAGCTAGCTAGGCTTATATGCAAATCGCTAAACTACTATATTTCTGTACAAATAAAGAATCTCTCAGTTTGTCTCATTATCGCAATAAAACTATGACTGAAGCCAAGAATTTTACGCTAGAGTATGAACCAGGAGCGACCCGTCTAAGTGACAATTTTCCTCTATCTGAGATCCTCAACTTACTGAAGATATGAGCCCCAGACTTTACCAGATAGAAATACCAACCTTGTCAGAATCACCACTTTACAATAGAGTGCTGCCAATCTAATAATACTTTCTCGTAGAAAAGTAAAAAAGAAAAAAAAAAGAGTAAGGGTAAAACAAAAATGGTGAAAATAAAAAAACTAAAACCTATAAGAAAACAACCAAACTATAAAGAAATCTAAAAAACTATCCTAAAATTTAAGAGAACTTGTCTACATATATAAAAATCTGCTAATCAGATAAAAAACTATCTATATGGTTGTAGAGTTCTATATATAGAGCTATCTGACAAAAAAGAAACTATAAACTAAATTGCACTTTAACCTGTGCTAAGGGCTAAAAATTATATGCATATGATTTCAGAATATTGCATATCTCTATTATATTACTCCAGTTGACAACTCTTATGAAATCTATCTCAAATCCTAGAATGCTGATTTTAAAGTCTCGATACGTGATCATCAGTTCTATTTATACTGAGCTACTCTTTTCGAATTACAAAATCCTCTAACAGTTTTTATAATATACCTTGCCTCATCGCTATATGAGATTAAATAGGGGATCTTCCCTATGGTCTACTAGTATTATTAGAAGCTACTCCCTCAGGTCTGTCACTTAGAGCTTTTATTTCTGTATAGTTAAAGCTGATCCAATACAGGACTTCCACGTACTTTGATTTAACCTAAATAGAACTTTCTCCTCATATATGATTGTTGTGTTCCTCATTTGTCATATTATAACTCGAGATCTTTCGAAAATAGAAATGTAAACAATACTGATCTTTTGGAGAGGAGTAGCCAAACTCTCTACTTTTTATTAAAAATTATGAAAAAAGAAAACAGCAAAAGAAAAGTGTAGTTTTGTAAGTTTTCTAACCAAAAAGTGTTGTTCCAAGAGTTCTTCATAGCCTTCTGTTCTCAAAATAACTTGAGCTTTCTTTCTACTTACTGTTCCCAGAGACTTCTCTGGTTTGGATGCTAAATATAAAAGAGAGTTTACCTGTGACAAGAAGACAAAAACAGGCTTGACCTCTTTGCAAACTATCTAAAATGCCTGTTCTTCAATGTATCACGTTTAAAACTTCGTCAACAACAGTTCATATTAAGAAAACTTCAAGTTATTTGTTCATTTCTGGTCTTGAGTCTTCTACTTGCTTTTGGTAACTGGTTAATACAAGTGATCATCAGAAAGAGTTGTGAATTGATGTCTAAATAATTTTACTAGAACTCTTTTTACTATCTCTAGTATTATCTTTTTCTTTTTTCTTTTTTAATTTTTGACTCCCACTAGTCTTCTTGTTATTATATCTTGTATTAAATTCGTGTTAATAATCTATTGAGATCTAGACTATTGAATCTATTCTACTAGTAGTTTTTTTTTTTAATTTTTATTATTGCTCTATATATCTTTTTTGCTTATTTGATAATCAATTTTTATAATCTAATCTATTATATTCTTCTGTAAATTTTTGTCTTAATTGCTATTGTGCCTTCTATTCTCTTCTAGAGTTGTTGCTAAAATCTTTGATTTTGTTATTTTTTAAGATTTTTATTTCTGTATAGCCTTTAGTATTTTGCTTCTTGGTTCTTTGTTTAAATTCTTCTTTAATTCTTTGTTGTTTTTTTTCTCAATTCTATTTTTTTGTTAAACTTGTATAGTCGGACCTCTCTAAATGCAACCTCCATAAATGCAATACCTCCCTAAATGCACATTTTTGTCTTGGCTATATGAAATTATTAGTACTAAATACACGTTCTATATTCTGCAAATGCATGTTCACTCAAAAGATTTTTTATATTATACTAACCTCACTAAATGCACGTAGCCAATCAGAAGTTAGTATTTAAGTTTGTTATACAAGTTTGCAGATCAAATATTTTAAAAGCTACAATTTGATTGGCTTCCTCTAAATACAAACCTCTCTAAATACATGTTTTAGACTGGTCTGTACATATTGCATTTATGGAGATTTGACTGTATTACTATAATATTTAGTCTTTTGGTAATTTATACTGAGTCTAAAGACAAGTACTTGCAAACTGAGAATACTACTATTATCTACTTAGCCCTTGTAGAGTTTATCTAAATCTTGGTAACTTCTTTTTAAAACAACCTGATACTATTCTTTTTTTAGTACCCCTAGCTGGTCTTTTCAGACTACCAATTCAGATAGCCTGGAAGGGATACTAGTCCTCTGATATTCTTTTTCTCTGATTGATGTTCTAGCAGTCTGATTGATAGAGCAACTTGCTAATACTCTTGCCTCATCTAGTTAACTGGCCTCAAATAAAGCTTATTCTAGTAGTCACTATCGAAAGTTTGTACTATCTCTACTTGGATCTTGCCAAGTAGGTATCCATCTTTCTGATTCTTTGATATTACATGATCATGTAACTTATATATTATATGATCTTCTAATCTTGTTGGTACTACCAAAGTTACAGATAATATTTCTATAAACTGAACTGAACTAAACTTTTGGCCAAGTTCAAGTTTAGTTCAAAATTGAACTGAACTTAAACTTGAACTTTTTTTAAATTGAACTGAACTTGAACTTGAACTTTTTTTAAAAAAAGTTCAGTTCAGGTTTAA